TATTTTATATACAAGTATTCCATACTGGCATATTTGGATTTTCTTATTACAGATAGGTTAGGTTAGGTTAGGTCAGGGGTGAGTACAGACTGAGGAGAAATACTTGACAAGGCTAATATATAGCCTACAGTAGAGGAGAGTGAGATTAAGTCCCTTGGGGACCGGAGGTGTCCACAATGTTCCGGTCATAGGGCAATGACCCTTACTAATCTTCTCAATCAAAAAAATTGACCATGCCAACTCTAAGCACAGTTTGTACATACCATTACTCAAATTCATGTTGACAGATTCGGTATGTTTAATGAGACTGAATTCTATAATGTTCCTACTGACAATTGAAAGACAAGATAATATTGAGGAGGCATTATCCCAGTCAATGCAATGCTTATTATCTCTCATATGAATTAACAGAGCATTGGATTCCAGGCCTGTTCTAACACTATATTTATGCTGTTTAAGTCTAGTTATAAGATCTTTACCTGTCTGGCCTAAGTAGAACATATTACATTCCTTGCACACCTACAGTGATTATATATATATATATATATATATATATATATATATATATATATATATATATATATATATATATATATATATATATATATATATATATATATATATATATATATATATATATATATATATAGATTTACGTGTTGTAATACACTTCAACAAGCACCATGGCCCTCCCTCCCGTTCTTCCGCCGTACACCACCTTTACCAACACCACACTTTTTAAGCACGTATGAGTACTGTACAACGGAGGATGTGACTAGTACCGGAGCTTAAGGCTGTCTGTCCATGGTTGGTACAGTGTTCAGTTAGTGTGGATGTGTTCCAACAAGGCAGATCCTCAGTGACCTTCACGAACACCGTATCTCTAGTCTGTACAGTATTTCTCTTTGGTCGGATGCTGTTGTAGGACAACACTGTGGTCTTATTATCAAAGACACTCGCTCTCTCGTCTCCAGAGAGCACCTTCCCTTGATGGTACACTAACTACAACTCCTGACATTTTAATACTGAATGTTGGGCAGCAACACTCGCAGTTTTTAATCGAAGACGTACACAACTTTTATAAACTTGGCACTCACTCTTTTTTCTCACAATACAGCTTTACTCGGCGAGATTATAGACTTAACAAATAAATCTTGGGGTGCGGCGGCCGAGTGGATATGGCTCTCGCCTCTTGTCCTAAGTGTTGTTGGTTGGCCCCCAGGACACCTCTTTGAATGGGTATCTAACTTTACAGTTGGGGAAGTGAAGGTGATGAAGCCTCACTGCGTCTATGGGAGGTGTAGTCAAAGAGACCCACTATAACATTCACTGAATATAATAACTGTTGTTAGTTCAGCTACTGTCCATATTTCTTATCTACTTCTTACCATAATTGTACAACTAGTCAGACTGAGTTTTGAACAGGTCTTGTACAATTTTGGTCAAGGTCGGACAAAGGTCATCGGAAAGTCCATAATTTTACTCCGAACTTACAAAACATTAACAGCTGACTGACCTATAGGGTTATTTATTGGTTGACCCTCGTGTAACGAGGATGGCCGGCCCAAGGGCCACCTAGGAGTGAATTTGTTTAAGGTGTAAAAGCTGTCGTCAACACAACAACCACACCTTAAGTTAACGAGATGCATGACCCAGTGTCAAGGAATAGTCCGAGAAGACCGGACAACTCGCCAGCTGTACTGGCTAACCATTACCTCGAACACGATCCACAAATCGATTAACATCCAGGTTCCCAATTACTGTTGGGTAGACAGAGGCAATTGGCATAAAGAAACTTGCCCATAGTTTCACCCTGCCCGGGGATCGAACCCGGGTCCGCTCGCTTGCGAGGCGAGAACGCTGCCCATTATACCGAAGACCTATAGAACACGTACAAAACAACGGACACAGGTCATATCTAACGCAGTGTGCAGTAAAGAGAGACGCTGCCTGAATGTCTTGTTATATAACCATTATTCAACGAGAATCAACACCCACAATAATATGCTTTCACTGCTGTCTTCACCAGCCTTGATAATAAAGGTTTGGAAAATACTGCATCATCGAAGGAAACCATCAAGAACACCGGTTAAATACGTGTGTGTGTGTGTGTGTGTGTGTGTGTGTGTGTGTGTGTGTGTGTGTGTGTGTGTGTGTGTACAAAATATAATAGTACATGTTCCTTTTTTATATTAAGAGGGTTAAGAATTTTAAAATTTGTTTACAACTATCACACTATTATTATTGTCAGCTATTCATTATTACTCCACCTTGTATTACAATATTATTATTTATATTAATATTATTATCGTTTTAATTCTTTTAATGATTGTTCCATTAAGCGACTAAATTTAAGGTGAAGATAACAAGCCGTGTACAGTATAGCAGCAGCACGTGGACCACAGTACCTCAACACGCTGTCTTCCTCATCCTTCTGGGATATGTAAACCCTTTTTTTTTCAAAGTCATCGATGAGAATTACATTGCCAAGAGACAGAACACAGGAAGTGACGCAATAAAGCAGTAAATTACTAAAATTTACAATAAGATAAGAGCGGCGACTAACACAAATTGCGGACATCAGCGAGAAAATGAGAACCAGTGTCGAACACGTAAGTAGCGTCCGATACCTATAATCTCCGCCTGGCTTGGAAATAATAATTGTAATTTGCGTCACACGCCATGCTATCGCTGTAAATGGCGTCATATTTAAAGAGGTACTGTACATGAACATTAACGGTGGGACATTTAGCTTAAACATATAACTAGTAAGGATGCAATGGGTGGGACAGCACACGTCGCTAATGTTTTCACCAGATTTAAAATCATTATTAACTCTTCTTAGATTTTGATAGGTCGTCATTACTAGTAGGGGAGTGTTAGTATGCAAGTATGATGATGACTGACTGGTCGATGGTGAAGCAGCTCTCACTGTTGCCAAGTACCGCACTGTACTGTACATCCTGAAGTTTGGTTGGCCACTTTGGCCGAGATATTTACGTCTTTAGCTTCTTTAAATATAGAAATCCGACACACAAGACCTTTTACTTCAGGACTTGATTGTACAGAGCTAGATGATGTATAAACATCATCACCGGGACATATTCTGTAATACTTGTTCCCAAGGTCAGTCAAGCAATAAAAAGTGCATAAACGTGTGCGTAGTGTTGATCTAGAAAGTGTTTTACACTGAGTCGGTACAGTACCACACAATTCCACTCGTAGACTTGTATACACTGGACGAGCGACGTAAAAATCCGACTCTTTAATTAAAATCTGATAAAAGCAGTGAAAAGAAGTCTGAACTTGGTGTAAACATTCATGATCTCAGGCGCAGGAGTTCCGAGGATCTTGAGACGATGGAAGAAGTGAAGACGATAGCTGGAAGATTTGACGGTTGTACTGACGTGTACTTCTCAGTTAAAGTTTATAATCTACAGTGATGCAGAGGAGCTTGGTGGAATCCACACCTGGAGGATATTGAAACCTAGTGTGTCGAAAGGAGGTAAGGCACGGTCGGAGGAGAGGTTGTTCTTGATATGGTTGTGACTTGGTTGGCGGAGGTCCAATCTTGGAAATTGTTCAATGTGTTCAGAAAGCTGCTGTAATCTGGAGCCGAGTTGTTGACACTGATGCCAGTGGTGGAATCGTCGACATATTTCCAACGACCGGGTGTATTCTTCAGGTCATCGTTGATGAGGTTGACCGGTCCCATCCAAGTGCCACGTGGGAAGCCGCGCGCAGGTGAGCAACACTTTGGTGAAGTCCATGAAGGTGAAAGTAACCGAGGTCTAACTTTTCTCTAGGTTGTGGCCTTCATATTGCCGAAGTGATGACGATCTATGGTGCCTGCAATGTCTGCATAATCCCAGTCAAATAAAATTCCTTCGCAGATTAGGGTGGGTATTGACTTGGGTACTGGAGAAACATATGAACCTTCCAGTCAGCGAGGCATTTGGCTTGTCAGAGAGAAGCACTGATAATGGATGGAGCAGAGGGGTTTGACTAGTTCCGGGGAGAACCCCCTTGTACAGCTTCATTGGAAGGTCAAAGGGGGGTGGTGGAGCTCTTGATCCTCAGCTTGTGAAGGCACCTAGCGATTTACCTTGCACCACTTCAGTTGGTGTGTGTGTGTGTGTGTGTCACGCTTGGTAGGGATTATCGTTAATGCCAAAATTGGATAACTTTTCGTGTTTAATGCTATAACTTAATGGAAACTAGTTTAACTGCGGTAAAATTTGCTGTTTCATCTACAGTAATATTGAATTTACCGCTATTTCATCATTATCCCTGAAACGCATAAGATATGCGAGGTGGGTACAGTGATGACCCCATTCCTATGGGTCGCAGGTGCACTCCAAGTGCACCCTCAATATTATTCAACTAGCTGTAAATGAGTAACTAACTGTAAAGTTGGAGAAGTTGTTGTTATAATATTATTACTGCGCTTCAACAACTAGGGTCTTTAAGCGTGTAACTAATACACTATTCCATCAACAATAAAAAATATTATGAGAGATAGAAGTTATGGTACTTGAGTGCAATGTGTGTGTGTGTGTGTGTGTTTGTGTCCTACAGTCGTACACAAAAAGCCCGCACCAACACACACTCAGAAGGGTAAGGAAGAATGGCGTGTGAGACGAGGGTAAAGGAGAGTGGCCGTCACAGGCCAAGGAGGACGAGTCAACCTGGCAACACCCTGGGCACAGGACGACACAAGGCAGCAAGTCACTCTCCTTGAACAAACCTTACCTCACCGTTTTACTGGAAAATTTCTCCTCACAGTTTTATAAGATATAGCAATATGCTAAATCAAAGCGTTATATGGTGCACAATAAACAAACTTTAGTGAAACTTTAATATCTAAGCTCAATAATAAACATTGTAAAAAAGTATCAAAAATATTAGTAAAAGAATTTCCACATTTATAAGGAAATTAATGAGGTGACCGCGGGCATAAGGTTAGTATATGCAGAAGAAAACAGTATTGAAGAGTTTACCTTCTCATCGGATGGTTCTTGCTAAGCGTTTCTCACTGTCATTCTGAAATAAAAATCATGTGTCAGATTCATACACGGAAGAAACCGAGTGGCTGAGAAACGTTGCCGCATCTCGCAGTAACAATAACATCATAAACGAAGCTCACAGAACAACGAGGGAGCATCACGTGTATCTTCAAAACATATTGCGTATACGGTTCTTGTCCACACCTAGAAGTACAGTACATGTTTGATCAGAATACAATGAGTCAACAAATCCGTAGAGCGAGATGCCTCATGCTAACTCCAGGGGCGCGAATTTTCAGAGGTTTGTGCCGTTTTACTCCTCTCAAGTGAAGGTGTAAGACTACACAACTGACTGACTTGAACTCACCACCAAAACGACGTCCAGAAATGTCTTCTATATTACACAAGACTACAGTAAGTGAACATGATACATTTACATCGACGTCTTGCAACAGCTGTCAACAATTTCTAATAACTGAAACCGCAAAGACCGGTCCCTACGAGAAGGTGTGCCGTAACACTTAACAACATAGAGCTTCAGGTATTTACTTCTGCTAGTTTTAACGCAATGTATCTACTGTACGAAGTAAACACAGTCTAAGGCGAACTTCTAAGCAGTGAAGCAGGAATATATATTTTTCCATTTTTTTACAGTACATTTATATTCAGGTCAAATTTACCATTTCCACATCACCGACAGCTCACTCAAAATGTAACACTTTTTTTTTCAAATTCCTCTCTGACACTCCACAAAAAGAGAAGTTTATTAAAAACACAGTGAAAGGAGGGTCTTTAAGATGTGTTTCAACATTTATATACTTTTATAACCCATTTACGATGAAAACTTCCCTTCACAATAAGGTGTGCACACTCTTGGTAAATACCCGTTTACATCATCATCTGTATTCCACATATTGCTTAAGTTTACTTCAGATATGATTTGAACATTAACGGTGAAGTGTCAGAGTTATAAGGGGAAATGTTATCTTGCTTAAACTGGATGTATCCTGCAGATGTAAACTACTGATAATCAAATTCTTGTTGTAATGTATCAATAAACCATACTTGACTGTTCTTCAGATTCCTTCATTATTAAGTCACACACACACACACTCGTGTCTTGACCTTCATGAGGTGAGGACGTGTTAAATTAGCGCTCATTAGCTACCTGAGTCAGTCTGTCGACCTCCTTCCCTTTCTACCAACAAACTCCCTTCCAAAAACAATGCAAAGATTCTTAATTAACGTGAGAATTATTTAAAAGTGACAAATAAATTCAGAAAAGAATGAGAAGAAATTGGCAAACAATAATGATGAACAGTGTATATGACCAAACCAGCCAGCGGCCAGTGGAAACACTGACTGAGCCTAGTGTCGCAGTTAATATTTACATTCCCATGACACCAGTCAAGGAGATACTGGTGCCATGCACTGTTTCATGTGAAATGACGCATTGGATAACTGGACAACACTGGCATTCCCTTATGATTATCGTGACCTCAAATGTCAGTTTGGAACAAAGCTGCAACAACATCCTAATAACTGCTACCTTCTGTCAGCTGAGGCTCCTCGTCCTCGAATTATTGAACATCACCACCACAACAAGGTCACATGAACCACCTCACACAGGAGCTACGATCTATGTCACTAAAACGACTTTGTTTATTTTCTGTTTTTTATGCTTTTTATAATCAATAAATTATTATTATTATTATTATTATTATTATTGCTGCCAATGTTATGATAATAATCCCAAGGAATCTCAGTTTCTGTTCACCTGTGAGGAGGGGCGGAGAAAACAATGTTATGTTAATGTTGTTCTAGGCGGTATAATACAGGAAGTGGTTACTACAACAAGCAATATAATATAATACTTTACCTGAACATTTTGTAATCAAAGTTCTTGAACCTTAAATTTTTTATTATAATAGGCTGCCTACACATCTTCACAACAAACATTTATTTTGTCAGCAAATCCTAATTTTCTCTTAGATTAATTTTGTTCCTTTGTGTTTTTAGCCCCATCGACCCGTCAAGAGCATTCGCTGGCTGGCTGCCCCGGCCCCCAGGCCCAGCAGCAGTGCTCAATACAGCTGGCAGTAGGGTTGTAAAAGCAGATAAAAATGCATGAGGTTGTCAGATAATTAAAGAGACTGGTCGTTTCAGTTAAGCTCCTGGATGACAGTTCAACTGGAGGGACGTGTTTTATTGACCAAGAAATTGTGTACCCAGACATATCCAGCGAGAAACTTTCCCCCAGAGGTCGTTATAACCAGAGCCGCCTCCGTATACTGTACACCGGTTGGTTGGTTCGTGTCTTCAGTCGAATACGTAATTCTTTTATAAGTTTGTGACGTGCAAAAATAAATCTGTTTTGTCGTTACTGTACAATTTACTTCTTTTCTAATAGATTACAAATCGTTTCTACTGCATAAAAATGTCAGATGAAGAAGTAAGAGTGAAGTTGTGTAGTTGTAAATAGTTAGGTAAATGGTCAATTATTTATATATTGCAATTCAAAAAGTTGGTGAAGTGTAAACTTTCAACGGTGCATTACATTTTTGTTGTTAACAGTAAGGTACACATTGGTTGAGTGGTGCAGTACGATAACACTTGATAATTCCCCACGAGACGTGACACAGCACAGGCTGCAGCAACCTAACCCACTCCTAACGACGACCCCTGCTGCTCCTAACATTAATTTTCTCTTCAACCACGCTCACCACTGCTTCCTGTCTCACACTGCATAACTACACTCACTGCATCAAGCAATATGCTGTACCCACCATTGTTTTGCCTTATGCTGCACGACACTGATGCCCGTGTATCATGCTACACACACACACACACACACAATCGAGTCACATCAATATTCCTATACTGCATCACAAAGCTATGTACACAATATGACTTCCTTCAATGCAAAACGCTGTCTTTTGTATCATTGCAGAATGATTCTGTGTTCTGCATAATTGATTCTCTACAGTAGAACGCTAATTCATCACTAGAGCAAGGTTCCTTACACACCAAGATATATCCCTCCTACAGCTAGCTACTTGCTGTATCTGTGAAGCCTCGAGCCTGATCTAGGGTGTAGTCTCCTCGCTCACACACTCCCCGTTATAAATCTTGACTATGACTGTGAGGTGTAGCAGCGAGTGTTTGTGTCCCAGTATCAGGGGCAGGGCAGGTGCGGCAACACTTACCTGGCAGCCGGTATGTCAGGAATTTTGACTGATACAGCGACCCCCCTCCCCCTGCACCAGTTATCACAAAATTGAATACTTTTCTTTTACTCAATTAATGTCTTATAGATAAAGTAACCGCTGGGTGTTACTATATATTCATAATAGTCGGCTTAGTTATAGGCCTCACTGTGACACCCGATTCATATTGTATCAGTGTCAACAGTAGTCGTGGTAACATCACTAACCAATACTGGAGGAATTGGAATAACGGATTATATCAAATAAACAATAAGATATATTGGAACACCACCTTATTGCTGCTCCCATGTCGTGTGTCGAGTTATAAGTAACATGTCGGGGACGAGGGAAGACACCATTTGCTGCGAGAAGCTCGTCTTTTATTGCTCCCCGAGGAAACAACCCACGTTCATGTGACACGAACACTAAGAGGGACAGCCATACTACTAACGGCAGGGAAACGCGCACACCGATATAATATTTAGTGCGGCATTCCATTAGAGTAAAAAGGCAACGCTCATCCAGTCCAACAAGGTCCGCCATCCGCCTGACGCACGCCCAGCCCAATTCATTTTTTGTTGCCTCGGGTGAAACAAAGAAACATGATGGTGCGGTGCGAACCGGGATTTTGCGTCGTTGAAACTGGGAGGGATTCCACTTGATCGTAACCTGTAAGTGTCACTCTTATAATATCTATAACGTGGATACTTTTTTAATTGACAAGTTACTCAAGCATTAAAAATACATCCCATTTATACATCGTGTTGTAACCGATAACCACAAACTTGACATAAATCTACGATTACACAATGTTTATGATAACTCACATTTTCACTTATAAACCGACCAGTAAAAGCAACACAATAACTTGCCTTAATTGACTTATAAGAATATGAACGACCTCAGCATTTAACAGTATTCTATAGTTAAACTATCTTCATTTTGTTTTTCAATTTTATCGAATTCCCATTAAAAATATATGAATATTATAGTACAGTACATGTAATACAGTAGACGTGTGTCTCAACCGTGGGACAAACACCAGGTAATAGTAGGCTACTGTATACACCAGGATCCTATCACCCTTGTCAACAACAACACCGTTCTTGCAGCTAAATTTGTACTTGGAGATTTAACAGTATTAAAATAATCTACAGCATCGGTGGTTAGGATGCCCGGGATTATGAAGAAGTTGAGCGAAGAATAGTGATGGAAGGCTCGCATACCCAGATGTTTAATGTGGATGTCAAGAAGACTGGAAATAGTTCCTTGGGTAGACATCCTTACACATGATCAGTTTTCATACTGAAGTTCGAGTAACACATAGAAGGGTTCAATGTGATATAAACAGGTGAATATTGTGTACATGTTACAACACACATTTTATTTCAATTCCTGGCATTCTCCTCGGGCTGGGGATAATCACAATTCAAAATACATTAAAGAGAAGTGAAGAGTTGTATCTTGAGTTTTGTAACCTCCATAGCAGCATTCCTAACCTCTAACAATATTTCTGTCTTTTCCACTACGCAACACATTCAGTCTTAAAGGTGTGACAAAAACCCTGACAACAGTGCGCGGTCCAGTTGTCGTCTGACACTTACATAAACTACACTTTTGGACAGGCAGTAACTCACTTTGGTAATTCGTAAAAGGTCCATCAGACCATGCAGACAAGAATGACAGGATGGAATGTTTATTACAAAAGTAGTTATGTTAGCTTTCATTGTCAAGAGTAATCTTATCTGGGCCAAACATATCATTAGTGTTACACGACTTCCTCACTGCTGAGATACGACTATTACTCACACGTCACGCTTACCCCAGTGTT